TTAAGATGGATTTTGGATCTTTCAATCCTAAATAAATTTATTCCCAAAAGAAGTTTCAAGATGCTCACTTACGACCATCTGAGGCACCTACTTCCGCCCAATGCTTGGATCTCAAAAGTGGATCTAGAAGACGCCTATTATCACGTTCCTGTTGCTCCCAGGTACAGAAAATTTCTGGTGTTCAAAGTAGGGGAATTAAGTGATCAATTCACAGTGATGCCATTCGGTCTGACAATTGCACCAAAAGTCTTTACAAAACTGGCAAATATTCCCAGAAAGATCCTTGCAAAGGAGGGCATAAGAACCTTTGCTTATCTAGACGATTGGCTGATAATGGGAAACTCTTTCGAAGATTGTCAAAGGGCGACCCAACGTACACTAGTACTATTTCAAAACCTTGGTTTAAAGAAAAACCAGGTAAAATCAAACTTAATACCATATCAAAAGTTGGATTGGTTAAGCCTCCACTGGGATACAAATCAGCAGTCAGTCAGTTTATCAGGAACAAAAGTAACAGATTTGATAAACAAAGTAGAAGCCTTTTGTGTAAAGCACAAGGTTTCTTGGCACGATTGGGAAAAACTTATGGGTCTGTTGAATTTTGCCACAATAGTGGTTCCATTGGGAAAGTTAAGGAAAAAGCAACTATCTCATCTGGGCTCGAAGTTGCTAAGCAGAAACAGAAAAGTTACTTTTTCTCTCCCTGTTCAGATAAAGAATCATCTGTTATGGTGGACAAACTGGGACAATCTAATCGGTCCCTCTCCCTGGGTTCCACCTCAAACAGGTTTGGTCGTTTGTACGGATGCGTCCAAAATAGGATGGGGATACCATTCTTCAAAAGGGGAATTCAATCAAGGAAAGTGGAGCAACTTCCTTTGGGACAAACACATAAATATAAAAGAATTAGCAGTGGTCCTATTCCTTTGTCGGCAAACCCAAATTTACAGAATATAACGATCCTGTTTGCCGTGAGCAAAAAAAAAAAAGAAAAAAAAAAAAGGGCAGTGTTTTGTCTCGACCAGGTCTTGGCCCCTTCTACAACTGTCAGAAAAAATCTTCAGTGTTTGCATAACACAAACACTTTACCTCAAAGCAACTTATATACCGGGAGTACAAAACAATTGGGCACATGCACTGTCCCGTCTCCGGCCAGTATCGACAGAAACAGAATGGTCCCTTAAGGTAATAGAGTTCAAGAGTTTAGTGAAGAAGTTTGTAACTCCAAAGATAGATCTCTTTTCCTCCCTAACAATCACAAGATGCAACTTTATGCATCTCTGGAGAGGTCGAATCCCTGAGGAAATGCACTATTCTTAGATTGGAACCTTTGGAATTCAATCTATCTGTTCCCACCTGTGAAAATATTGCCCACAGTGGTTCACAAACTCAGATCCTTCCAAGGCAAGGTCCTCTTAATTGCACTATATTGAATCATACAACCTTGGTGCCTGGATCTGTTGGACTGGTGCCCGAATCCGCTACAATTGCAACAAGGATGTCTAGACCAGGAACTACATTCTCAGTTCGAGATATCCTTGGCACTTCATGCTTGGAGTTTCTCAAAAGGAGTTTAAATATGTTGTTGGGTAATTCCAATATAGCTAACCAAGTATTAGCAGGTCATAGACTTCAAACTTTCATGCAAAATGAGAAAGCTTGGAATCATTTTCAACAATTTATCAAGTCAACAACTCCAGAATCATTGTCAGAAACAGTTGTGTTAGAATTTTTAGAATTTCTGTTCCGAGAAAGCCCTTAAAGGATCGACAATTGCATCTTATAAATCAGCATTGGCTGACCCTCTGGCTTGGGGTTTTAATATTACTTTGAACCCAAGGATTTATTAAATGCTAAGATTTTCCTTTTTCATTCAGAGAACCCCTCGGCCAAAGAGAATCCCACCTTGGTCTCTGTAAAAAGTTACTAAATTTCTTATGGGGCCTAATTACAATATAAATCTGAACAGGGATAAATTACTACAGAAGGCAGCCTTCCTTCTAGCAATAGCAACAGGTATGAGAAAAAGTGACCTGATTTCAATTTCCAATAATCCATCATTATTGGTACTTTCTGAGTAGGATGTTACCCTTTTTCCTACGGAGATCCTAGAAAAAATGAAAGGGAAGATTTCCAAGCTCAACCTATTAGGATAAAATGCCTAATGGATGAGACAAGGGTTCCTCAAATATTGTGCCCAGTTAAAAATCTTCAGGAATGGTTATCCAGATTCCCTAATCGAGGCCCTTATGTTTCCTCATCCAGGGATGGTAAGAAATTGTCTTCTAGTCAAATGACTAAGTCTTTATCTCAATTAGTGAATCAAGCAGACTCTGGCAAGAAATTTTTGGCACATAACACAAGGAAATAAGCAGGGTCTGTGGCCTTTCTGCGGCATATGAGCCTCAGTCACATCTAGGAAATGGAGATCTTCTTCATCACGATAATAAAGTGAGTATCCTAATTGAGATATGTAAATTAACATTTTACCTTCTGGTAAATGTTCCTAATTTTGGAAATATTCTACACGGTTTATAATCATAATCTGGACCTAAGTTAGCGGAGCCCTGAATGCAAGTCACCTCCCTCTCCACCTCTTGCTTGGGTATTCAAAGCTAAGCGTCGCATTCTGGGATTGAACAAAAAGCCGTTTTTTTCTAAAAACCAGTTTTTATGATATGACCCAGAATGCAACGCTGATAACCCACCCATCTCCACCCCTCGAGAGTTGACTTATATTTACTGCTCGCTCTAAGGCAAGAGATGAAGGTGGCAGTGCGTGCGATGGAGGGTGAAGGAGGGGGTTTCGACAATTGCAATTAAATGCTAGGTAGCAATGTGTCCTCCTAATATTACTTATTAAGTAATTATTAGATGTTTTAATTGCCTGTATGTTGGCCTGGCGAATTATTGCTAGGCATTAACATACCTAGGTTAAAGCTAAGCGTCGCATTCTGGGTCATATCAGAAAAACTGGTTTTTAGAAAAAAACGGCTTTTTTTATTTTATAATTTGTTCATTTATTTTTAAAGTTGTGGTTGCGGCAAATCTTTTTGAAAATGGTTGCGGGTGCGGCAAAACTATTTCAGCAGAGTTACGGTTGCGGCGCAAGAAAAGTTGTATGTGCCCACCTTTGGTAAGTACAGTATTGTGGCATAAGTTTCTCATACACAGTATAGGTATACAGTAGGGTCGGGATATATCACCAGATAGGGTCCAAGGATGTTCGCTATATACTAAATCGCGATATATAATTACACGTAATCAATGGGGAAAATAGGGTTAGGTTCTGGAGGCCAATAAAAGTGACTAAACTTGACAAAATGGCACAGACTAAAGTTAGCAGAATATAAATTGCATTGCTGGAATCCTTGCAAGACAGTGAATAATTCTAATATAGTGTAGTGGATACTCTCCCCTACAACTGCTGATGGTCACTTGCCATCCGCTTACCAGCCAACCAGCGGAGAGTTCCACAAACCAGCCCTCGTGTTCGAACTGAGTGGTGATTGGTCAGTTGCCGCCTTGATCTTAGCCAATCAGCAGCGTTTCTCATCTTTGCATTTCAACTCTTGATCCGGCAGAATGATATAAATACTCCCCTGCCTCGCTGTGAAGGTCAGACTACACCACCCTATTAAGCAGGGAAGACCTCCTCTAATGAAGCTCCTCCACAGCAACTCCTCTCCCACGCAGCAACTTCCCAGCACCTGACTGCTCTGTACATATACTGTAATATATATAAAGATAACGCCATTGGGAGTTTCCATCCTCATTGTGAGATCTCCTACATGTACGTATGTATGTGAGCCAAACAAAGAGAAAATAGACAAACACAAAGAGAAATTAGACTACTGGCCACATTCACAACGCTACAATAGGCATCATATATTTTGCACAACAAATAAAATTTTTAGTCTTTCAGAGTACTGTACATTTAAGTACCGTACAGTTTTTCAACTCGTATTTTTGGGGCAGTTTAGGGGGGTTTTAGGAGTGTTTCTGACTTATACGGTTTTTGGCTTTATGTGAGGTCCCAGGAACATAACCCCACGAATGTTGTGAGTATACTGTAAATAAATTTATCACTATATATTGGAAAATGTTGATAATTTTGGTAGCCGCGATATAAATTTTTTTATATAAAGTTGCTATATATCCCAACCCTACTGTACCTGTACATTAGTATATAATTTGACTTCAAAATAAAACAACAAGCTAAATCAGTGGTTGGTGGTGTGGCAATACCGAGGGAGGTATGACTCAGCAGCAGGTGACACAAGTTCTCAGCAACATTGAGTGCTGAATCCAGCCTGCAACAAAGTGACATTACCAGGAGTATATTAAACACAACCACCAAGCTCTCATCACCACCTATTTCACACCTCAACAATTCAAGGAGAATCTAGTGACGATGATTCTGCCACTCTGGAGATTGGTAATGAAGCTGGAGTTGCTTTACAAGCGTCTGCAGTTGATTTTGAAGTCTTCGAATGCCTACACCCCATCGTCTCCAAGAGGTTCCCACACCTCTAGTGTTTGGTGAAGACCATGGGAGTATTGCATAATTAACTTCCTGGGCTTTCTTACAATATTTATTTAATAATGTAAATGCAGTTTATGTGACATTATGTGTCATTTTTGGAAGGCTAATTTGGTAACCCAAAGTTGGTCTAGAGTAAAGGTCCACAGTAGAATATAACGATTTTAACACATGTTAAAGAGCATTGCTTGAGCAGCTTTCTGATGCACAGACGTGTAGCAGTATGATATACCCACACAAAATGAGACTCCACCATATTAGGTTCCAAGCTGATATAACTTTTAGTGTATGGGAATTATTTAGGGTTCTCAAATAAAAAATCATCCTGTAGAATGAATACAGGCTGTCACAGGTACAGAACAGTACATATACAGAAACAATGAATGTAACCATACAAAATAAGAGTACAGGGTACAGTGCACAAATAAATTCCATTAACATGAGTTCGTGTACTCACGTTCAGTGAAGCGGTCAGTGTGAAGGTGATGGGCCTGTTTCTGGACCTTCCTGCCAGGAGTAGGATGCAAGGTGGCACCCTCTTTACCATAAGCCATTAGCTCCTGGCACCTCTCCTTGGATCCAGGGCCATACTCTGCCACCAGAATGCAACTCTTGTAAAATGAACAATAAAGGAAAAGTACTGTACCAAGAAATGGACCACTAAACCATTTACAGTATGTACAGTGTTTTTTCTTGAAATGCAAACCTAACCTAACTTAACCTAAATGATTCTGAGGCCCATGCATGGTAACAATTCACTCTTAAAGATACAATAAAGTTACACACCAGCTCTTTCTAGGTAATTAGAGGAAATTCCTTGATCAGTGTCAAACCATTTCTGAGGCCCATTCCCAAAGACTCCTCAGTGTCAGGGCTGTGTCAGTGGAGCGGCAAATCCTAAGTATCAAGCTCTATCGACAGTCCTGAACCAAATATTCTAAGAGATACAGAGTTTTTTATCACCTGTCTGAGGCCATAAGGTCAGATGGTATTTTTGAATTGTACAGTGTATGTGTATAAGTCAAAATGTCATTTCTTACTTGCCACAGCCTGTATGGGAAAATGTTTAAGATCAGTACTGCCAGGTGGCATTTTTGATGATGCCAGAATACTATTGTTAATATACTTTTATGCAAAACAATTGGTTGGGCTATGGAATTCAACAATAAAAATGTTCTCTCAGAGATAAAAATTGGAACCAAATTTGTGGACTTTTAATATACAGTAGACTCGCAACTTACGTGTATTTTTCTTATGCTGTATCAACTATACGCGGATTACCCCGGGGGCTGGGCTACAATTTCCAATTTCAAACTCAAAATTAAAAAAATGGGTCGTACACGTGTCAAACGCTAGCCCACCAAAGCTCCAATCCTGCATTTCAAGCTCTGTCTACATAAAGTTTTTCAACTAATATTTTTGGCTCGATATATGTAACTTTCTTCATTTATTTTTACTAATTTACATGCACACACTGTCCTAAGGGCAAAGCTGTAATGTACATGTACTCAAAATAATGTACAAAATTATTAAAAAATATTTTGTCTAGTGCAAACTATTGCACGATTACAGCTCCTCCCTGACTTACGACGGGGTTAGGGACCCAAATCCAGGTCGTAAGTCGAAATGGTCATAAGTCGAAAATGCTTAAAATAATACATAGAAAATCTAAAATCGGTGTCTCTTTTTCTACTCAGCACCACAAAACTCTCACTTTTAAGCTTGATAGCCATTTTAAAGAGAATTACAAACAAAAATTTTGTCTGTGTACTGACGTTGGGACTCGAAAATACGTAATTTGACAAAATTTTGGTACGACTGAGGCAGGTCATAAGTGTGGGTGGTCGTAAGTCGGGAGGAGCTGTATATCAAAATTAATCACTATCTTATAAGAATGGCAGCAATGTAAATTATATTCTCCCCAGTCAGTTCAGTGACATTTTATAAGGGAAAAACAAAATCTCAATCTAAAAGACATAAATAAACAAATAAATACTACACTAGACCTTCGGTGCCAACTGTCAAACGTGTCACTGTCACCTCACCTCCCCCCTCTTCCCAGCCAGGGTTTGCTAGTTATAGGCTTACAGTTTTTATCTTATATAATATAACAGACTAAAGTTAGGAGAATATAATTTGCATTGCTAGAATCCTTGCAAGACAGCGAATTATAATTATATATATATATATATATATATATATATATATATATATATATATATATATATATATATATATATATATATATATATATATATATATATATATATATATATATATATATATATATATATATATATATATATATATATATATATATATATATATATATATATATATATATATATATATATATATATATATATATATATATATATATATATATATATATATATATATATATATATATATATATATATATACAGTGACCCCTCATTTAAACACCTCGGTTAACGTAATTTTGATTAACGAACTGCCTTCCATAAGGATCTTCAATTCGGTTAACGAAAAAAAATTCGGTTAACGAAGTTCTTACGAACCGACCTCAACATGTTATCGCTTGCACTGACCGGGCAACCAGCTTTAGTATCAGTCCGCCAATACATTAATCGGTTCTAGGGCTTAAATTCCTTACTATTTTAGTAAATATCAAGAAGTTTATACTATTCAATAATTTTAAAAGTTTAATATTCAATTTTTTAGTCATTTTAACAATTATTGAACATAATTGAAGGTAAAGTGACTAGTTTAATGCGCGGCATCCAGCCTCTTAACACAGCAAACAGGAGTTAGTCTCTCTCTGTTTTCACTGGAGGTAACATCTTGCTTGAGACTCTCTTCAACTAAACGCTTTTTTTCTGTGTTTCCAAGCAAATTATTGGTCATTTTGAAATATATTTTACATATTGACAATATATAATGCAGTGCAGTGTTGATTTAAAGAAAATAATCTTGAATCACGCCAAGAGAGCTAAAATTTTATGGGTGAAATGGCGCCATGGGGTGACTTCTCTTCCACCCCAATGCCTTCTCTTCTTCCTTCTCCTCCACCCCCATTCCAAATCCCATCATCATCATCATCATCCAGGAGCCTTCTACATACACACCTCAAAGTAAGTGAACTTTTCTACCATTTTTGTTGAATTTAGGAAATTTTCGGTGACCTGGAACCAATTACCCAAAACCCATCATATACGCGGGAAGCGGCGCGGGCACGATGCGCACAAGGTCGCCCAGTCATCAAAACATTACCGAGTTCTTCACCCGCCACCCACCACAGCCGGCCCAAGTCAGTGATAGTGATAATTATAGTGAGGATATGGACTTATATGGCCTTTGAGGGGTTTGACAAAGAGGCCCTGCAAGCCTCTGTGGTGGATAGTGATACAATTGATACAAGTGATACAGGTGAGGGCCAATAATCTGCCCTCTGCCTCGGAACCAACCCCCCATCCCCGTGTGCCCAGCCATCTTTTCTACTAATGCAAGTGTTAAAAAACCTAATATTATTGATATTTCTCTTAATTATTAATTGTGTGTGCATACCATCATAAAGTTAAGATAAAATTTTTACTACAACATAGTTGTGTGTCGTCAAAAAGTGGAGTTTGGGGGTCGGGCCAGTCTCTATTGGAATTAATCCCATATGTTCTGTTGTTCACTTAGCGGTTTTCACTTATGACGGTGCCCTGTGGGTTCAATTGACGTGTTAAGCGGTGCTACTGTATATATATATATATATATATATATATATATATATATATATATATACTATATATATATATATATATATATATATATATATATATATACTCTATATATATATATATATATATATATATATATACTGCTATACTACTACTATATATATATATATATATATATATATATATATATATATATATATATATATATATATATACAGGTTGTTCAATACCTCTCCTAGTCCGGCATTCACCAGCAGTCCGGAAACTCAGTACGGTCCAAACGATTTTAGTTTGTCCAATAGGTAGATAGGCAGCTTTTATTATTTGTTTTATTTTTTTTTATCTGAATTATTATTATTATTACAGGAGTATTACATTTTTGCCCCTCAGGCCCCAATGTGGGTCAGTGACCTATGCCCGGGTGGGCTAATCCCCTTAAAAAAAAAGCCACGGGAAATTAAGGTTTGTTTACATCCGGCAGTTCGGCTGCTCTCTCTCTCTCTCTCTCTCTGCTTGTCTATTCAGAGTACAACATTTAACCCTTCAATATATATGAGCAGTAAATAAGTGTTGCTTTCATATTCTTATGTAGAGTAATGACGATATGTTTTCACATGTGCGCACTTACATACGCGCAGTCTCACTTTTTCTTTTTACCATTTATGGTTAGCTTACTTATATTGTTCCATTTATTAGCATTCAATAACATTACAGGTACTTCAAACAAACATATTATTTTTTTTTACATTAATTTTACTACAGCTAAAATCAGGGTCTTATTTTCTTCAGTTTTATATGTAAAACCAATCAGTCACTGGTTTTGTAAGCTTTAACATAAACAATGCCGGCAGCCGTCTCGTCTCCTCTAATATTCCACGTATTATTAATATATTGTATTGTTAATTTTGCACACACACACACACACACATTAATTCAATAAAAACAAATTCAGAAACATTAATTAAAATATATATGAACAGTAAATAAGTGTTGCTTTCATATTCTTATGTAAAGTAATGACGATATGTTTTCACATGTGCGCATGCGCACTTTACATACGCGATCTCTCTTTTTTCTTTACCGTTATCATTAGCTACTTCTATTGTTCCATTTATTAACATTAAATAACATTACTTAAAACAACCATATTAATTTTACTACAGCTACAGCGAAGGTCTTATTTTCTTCAGTTTTATATGTAGAACCAGTCAGTCACTGGTTTTGTAATCAACGAAAACAATGCTGTGTCATTTCCTCGTGTGTTTTAATATTCAACGTATTATTAATGAATTGTATTGCTCATTTTGCACACATAAACATTAATTCAATAAAAACGCCATTCAGTAATAAACAATAATGAATCTTTTGTATACAAGAGAAATGACGCTGTTTACACGATTATGCACGTCGTCTGCACGTTGGCGGGCCGTTCAAACCCGTCGAAATTCAAGTTTCCGCCGTCAAAATTTTTATTTATTTATTTTTTCCAATAAAATACGTTAAGAATTAAAAACTCGCGAAATTTGAGAAGCTACTATACGACATTTAACCCTTCAATATGTCTTCAAAGAGACCATGATGCAGAGAAAGTGTTGCTAGTGCTTCCAAGCATATAAGCACAAGTCACTATCTATGCAGGAAAAGGGTGAATTTCCATGGTCCAGCACCAGTCAGATCCCGAGGTTGCCAGACTAGAGAGGTATAACCTGTATATATAGTATGTATATATATATATATATATATATATATATATATATATATATATATATATATATATATATATATATATATATATATATATATATATATATATATATATATATATATATATATATATATATATATATATATATATATATACAGTATATATATCATAATCCACAGG